TTTTGACCGGTAACAATTTAACAGAACTGAGCATTTTTTTAAATAAGATATAAGATGAACAAGTTAACAATTTTATTGTAGTTTCATAAAATTAAACTTTCAATACTATCTATCGGTCTTACTACAAAAAAATATACTGTTTTAAACCTGATGTAGTCAAATTTTATATGACATTTATTCTTAAACTCGTGTTGAACGCATGTCTAACTTTTTTGTTGTAATAAAGAGAAAGATTAAAGTCCGGTATGATTTTAAACATATACTTTTTGCCTATTGACTTTTTTTATACAGGAACATATTGTTGTGCATTAAAACGTTCACATTCAATAAAGAAAGAAAAAACTGCATTAAAAAAAGGATGTGCTGTTGCCTGTACAAAATATTGAATAAGTAAAAGTTTGAATCAAAACTGCACTGAAAAAAACCATGAATATTATTGTGTATGCATCGATATTAAATACCATATACTCTAGATCATCCGGGAACGAATGAATTGAAAAAAATCTGACGCAAGATCGGACGAGTATCGAGAGATACGATCAGTTATCTGTCTGATCAGACAATAGGAAACAAAATATGACGTGTATTCTCAGCCTTAAACTAAGGGTGACCGTTCCAGCCAGATCCCGGGTATTATAATTTCGGCTACAAACATGGACCATTGCATCGGGTAGGTAATGAATTACCAGTGTAAAAGTATTACTGAATCGCAATGTGATACTGCCGTCACTATCAATATATATTACAAGGGTTGTTATCGATATACATAAATAAAATAGGTACATAAATGGTATAGAATATGGAAATAGTGTAAATATATAAATAAAATCCAGTTCAAGGAGTTATAAAAGTGAAAAAAAGTATCTTTCTCTTCTAAACTTCGCCCCTCCCCATTCAAAATTTTTGAAACTTTAATTAATTTGATTTGCCTATAATAATAACTATGTTCCCAGTCCTACATAATAATTATTATGGGTAATTCCAATTGCCGGGTTTTTAAAGCCTTACGTGAAGGTAGTTTATGTACAATCGAACAAACTGATTCTTGGCCCACATGACCGATAATTCGCTTAAAAAATTGCAAAACAGACAAATTCTCTTCTATTGGGTATTCGTAATTCTTAATACCTTAATAGGATATTGGATTTAAACGTTACGGTTTAAAGTTTTAGATTTCAGTTCGATTCATTATTGTAAAATCTTGATAATAATAACCGATTAACTTCATACTGATGAAAAGTCTTAAAAAGATATAAATAAATATTCCTTACATTCACACAGAGAAGTCAATAAACTTTTAAGTTTGACTAAAGCTAATATTTATGCTAACAATAGAATTAGATCACACGCTGTTTGTAACAATGCATTAATTTTATTTGACGTTAGTACGGCCGTCAAACCAAATAACCTAGCCCCAAAGTAATGACTTTAACGTTCTTGTATAAGGATACTAGGATAAAGGATACAATTACATATAATTACGTATACAAAGATAAATATAGCTTAGTGGAAATATGTATAAACAACCTTGACTCTAGTATTAGTCATACAAATATTTTCCCCCACCGGGATTAAAACCCAGGACATCAGAGTAAGTGAATTATTTAAACCGGTTTACATACCACTCCACCAAGGCGGTCGTATTATATACATATTTACATAACTATGCAACTTTAAATTATTTTTAATGAGTCATCGCATCAAGAAAGATACTTCACTCAGACGCAACCTGTACTTTAGATTTCTATGAATTTTAGTGCATATCTAATATATAAAATTCTCGTGTCGCGGTGTTTGTGGTTAAACTCCTCCGAAACGGCTCGACCGATTTTCGTGAAATTTTATATGCATATTCCGTAGGTCCGAGAATCGGATGTAATCTATTTTTCATCCCCCTAAATGTTAAGGGTAATCCACCCCTAAATTTTTCTTTTCAATTTTAGATATTTTGTTTTATTTTTTTATGATACAGCATTAGTAAATATATATAATCCTGAATTTTCAACCCTTTACAATCAACCCCTATTTTACCATCGCGATGTTTGTGGTTAAACTCCTCCGAATCGGCTTTCCCGATTCTCATGAAATTTTGTGTGCATATTGGGTAGGTCTGAGAATCGGACAACATCTATTTTTCATCCCCCTAAATGTTAAGGGTAATCCACCCCTAAATTTTTTTTTCAATTTTAGTTTTCTTTTTATTTTTTTATGATACAGCATTAGTAAATACATATAACCCTGAATTTTCAATCCTTTACAATCAACCCTTATTTTACCATCGCGATTTTTATTTTTAATAATTTCTTTTTTTTCTCAATTTAATTTGATCTTCCGCCTTCACAGGTCGATAACCGATCAACGATCAATCGATCAGTTATCCCCGCTAGATGTCTACCTGAGTCACCTCTCATCCAGCAAACATCACGGAGTAGGGATGAGAAGGAAGCCGGTCTCCTGTCTTCCTCAATATACAGTTTTCGGCCATTTTTTTTGATTTCATTTGTGTATCGATATTCGATCGTAGCAGTGACTTATACGTATTATTTTAATTTTTCTGTGCATCTATTTTTTACTCTCATCGTGAATTTATTATTAATTTCCAGTGCAATAATTTTTTTTTCACATTTTATTAATAACTGATAAAGACAGTCTTAAATATTAGTTAATTAAGTACAATACCTACAATGCGCCTTCGCGCCAAAATTCAAGCTATTGGGTATTGTAACGTAGTGTTCTCATATAGGTTAGGAGGAATGTTATCCCAGGAAATTGATAGAACACTACGTTACACACCCCTAAAATTTTTTGTGGACAATAAATATTTTTTATAATGTGTTATTAAAAATACATACCACCCTAAATTTTCTCTTCTAACACCTGCCCCTATTTTTATGGCGGTACGAAGTTCGCTGGGTCAGCTGGTATATATATATATATATTTAATATAAGTTACTATATATAAGTATGATTAAGAATAAAATAAAGAATATAACATTTCTAAAAATTACATATATCATTTACCTAAACTTCAAGACAGTACATACTGATATAGAGTTGCTGCACCCTTTCTTTCCGATTTTCAGTCATAAAAATCTGAATTGTAAAATACATTGCATGTCTCTCAGTAGGTACTAGTACTGATAGACATACAAAACATTTTACAAGACGAATATATTATGAAAATAATGTATGAAGAGATTTGTCAGGACGATGGTTGTACAACTATATATGAGTATATACTAAGTAATTTGTAGATTTTAGGTAAATAAGGACCGGATTGTCCAATTAATAAATTGTAGACCAGGGGGCCAATCGCCTAACAGAAATGCTTTGGAAAACGCTAACGCTTAAGATTTTATTTTGTTATTTCTAGCCGCCTGAGGTATTCAAATGCCTCGCGCTCTTTCTTTTTTTCTTTTGCATTGGTAATAACAATATTAAAAAAAAATGAGCGTGAGGTATTCGAAAACCTCAGGCGGCTAGAAATAACAATATAAAATCGTAAGCGTTAGCGTTTCCCAAAGCATTTCCGTTAGGCGATTGGCCCCCAGGGTCGATAACTTTTGAGAGCAAACATATTAGGTATTGGATGAAACCCTTATAAAAAGGTAGAGAAAACGTTAAAAAGGGGGAAAAATAAATCAAGGGTGATTTGAGGTCGAGAAGGGGTTTATTGACATTATACTGGGGGAAAACAGTTTATCGCGATTTTTAGGAAAACTACAACTTCTATCAAAAAACTTTCCATGTCAAAATTTTAGGTATTCAAAAGATCTACAACGATTGTATTTACACTTTTTTCACATAACTTAAATAAAATGTCTTAGAAAATTCAAAATAACCGACTTTATTGCATATGATTAAAATAAATACGACCTAAAAGACAGTAAAAACGAATTGCTGAAATGTATATTATGTACACGCGCGATGTAACTTCCCAACTGTACCAAATAAAATTATTTGTCGTTATTTGCATAAATTTGTTTTTTATCTAAAAACAATATAAAATATGGCGGTACGAAGCTCGCCCGATCAGCTTGTAAAATATAACAAAAGAAAATATAAAACATAAATTCCACTATATTCTATCAACCTTTGCCGACCGTTTATGCGCTAAATATTTTTTGGACTTTCATATTTTTAGTTATGGTTATGGAAATTCTATATACATAAATGAGTTTAGTGAAGCCACTTATTAAATTCGGTTGCAAGATATTATTTTCATCATCTGAGTATTTATTACGATATATTCTCATAAAAGTAGGTTTATGAATTTTTAAAATAGATTAAAATAAATACTGGCAAGCCAGTAAATATATTTAGGTAGAAAATTATACCTATGAACAAATTACTTATAATATAATTTATTTAACTAATATATGTGTATTGGTATTTATTAATGATTTAGGTATATTATTAGTTTAAGCGCTGCGCCTGTTATTAACCATAAACCACCGCAAACCCATACATAAGCGACAGAGCTGCAAATACAAGAACCTGAACGAAAACACCCTTATTAAAAAAAGAAGGCTACTCTTGGATTAGGTACTCCATTTTTTGTCTCTGTTTATTGAATGACAAATGGCATTTGAGTGACATGAACAAAACACAGCGTAACTAGTCTAAGCTTATTCCTTGTTTTTATTAAATAGGGGAAAAGGTGCCTAACAATTATGTAATTACCAAACAGAAATTATATTTATTAGTAAGTACGAATTATAGTTACTTTAGGCTGACGTAACTTGTCTGAAAGCTCACTCAGGATAAAAGATCACGCAAGCAGCAAAATTAGATTTAGTTTTTAGTGGCGTAGCAACTGAAATATCACTTCGTATCGTAGCTCAGAAACTTTTCTGGCAACCGCCTAGTAACAGAAAACCACAACACGATCGATCGACTTGTTCAACCTCTCTTTTGCCTTCTTTATTTCATTGTAACTTTAATTTTAATAACCTTGAAGTGATGTTTCTGTTGTACGTAAACAATACCAAACTACGTACCAGTAGCCGCGGCGGCCTCGGCACCCTCCTCATTGACTTCGATAAAAGCCTTTTGAATGCCTTTCGATACGTACAGAGGTTCGTTGGCATTCAATATTTTAGTCAAACCAGAGTCATCCTTATTGAAAATCTGTTTGATGCCCATCTGTGAATTGAATGACATAATATCATAGAAACGCTATCTATAAGATAATAGATATTACTCTATGATGGTCAAGTGTTTTAGGGCCTAAAATAATCTATAAATATTTAAAACATGCTTAGATGATCCATACTTTCGATAGACAGTAACCTAATATTATTAAATCTTTTTATAAGGATATTATACATTTCACGGTACTATAAGCTAAATTAATTATACGAATAATAAATTAATTAAAAGGTCACATCACAAAAAATATTGTTAAAAAATTTAATAAACAATTACGCATATCATAAGTAGCGCTTACTTTGGGCAGTAGTACTCCTAAATCGATTTCTGTTTCGATTTTGAACTTTGGAATGGTGACCTGAACTTTGGTGTGAAACATATTAGCCGCTACGTCTTCTAGAAGATCATGACCGTCGGCTAACGTCTGAAGCATAGAATCAAGCCCATCCTTTTCTTCGGGTAGAACGATGAGCATACTAGCTTCGTTGTCTATGTACGGCATTTCTAACAGCTGCAATGAAATAACTTGTTTATGAATGTAAGTGACAGTTAAAGGAGGGCGCTGTTTAATGTTAATTATTTCAAGTACTTGAAAATCTCCAGCTTGATATGATCTATTTTTTTTTATAAAAAAAATACTAAACTGATTTTGTATACCTGATGTGATGTAGTTATCATGATCATAAAATAAAGTGCTACGCGCTAATTTATATATAATTTTACTATAATGCTTTGTTGTTTTATTAATAAAATGCATATACTGCACAATGGTTTAGCCTATTGTAATACCTAATGTTATTAAGTACTACTATGGTCAAAACTTCTATGAAAGAAATCAATTAAACATTAAGTATACCGACTATTATAATAAAATATATTATTTGATAAAAAAAAATTGTTAGCAAATATTATATTTATTGTTTATTTATTAAGTTGTTATATTTAATTAATTGATTTTTTAATGAAATATAACAACCTTAACTTCCGTACACTACGTACGTAAAAAAGCAGTTATATGCTTAAAAAATAAAAATTATAATTATAATTGCTATTTCTTCTTTCAAATGTTTAATACTTGTAAAAGTATTCATTTGACATTGTGAGTTATCTATAATGCAAAGAGATGGCGCTGCCTTACAGCTTAAGAATGTCTAGAAGAATTTCGACGCGACCATCAGGGCCGCGGTAGCATAATCGGTCAGTGCATTCGCCTGGATAGCGAAGGGTGCGGGTTCAAGTCCCGTCTGCTGCCTGGCCCGCGTGGATTTTTTTCTAGTTATCTTTTCTCAATATACTACTTAGTCTTATTGAATGCTTCTATATATTAAATGATTTAACTTTAATCATAAATCTCAATATGCCACTGTTTAAATTTAAGTTAATAAGCTGGTTACTAAATAATGTATTTTATAGTCTTGATGAATATAATACACTTGTAAAACTAAATATTATGTGGCTCTAAAACGTAATTTTTTTAACTGAAGATAGGTTTAAGTTATAAATTTTACCATTGCATGCCCGTTGTGGGCATACTGTTGTGACTTTCTTTGGCAAAATTGTGCACAGTTTTTAAGCAATACAAGTTATTGATGTGTAAAAGCTTTCCTCTCGCTTTGCTGCAATTTGTGGGATGATTTCGTGTAATGGGACGGAAGTGTGTAACAGGAAGTCGCGAAAGCGCGCGCTATGTGATTTGATTTTAGAACATAATGTTTAAATGGCTTATTCCTTTTGTAGTAGGTTTTATTTCTTTTTTGAGGTTTCAAATGTTACTCATCATACGCGACTACTGTAAGGCTCGCTCGTTTTTTTCTATTTCTTATCTAAACTTATAAAGAGTTTTCTATATTTGTAACGATTAATCTCAAAAACGCATGACTAATGTTGATTTTGCTTTTCACGGATTATGTTCTGTTTTTTTTTATCCTTAATGTTAACTCCTAAATGTGTGATATATAACAAAATTTTCATAAACTCCTAACGAAAAGCGACTTTATTTTATTTTTTAAATAATTAAAAAGAAAGTGATTTAACACATTTGACAGCATGATTCAGATTCCTTCTGCAATACCTAAATCATTACCTACATATCCTAGAAAATACAGGCAATAAAAGAAAAAAATACATATTTTCTTGATTGGCTTAGTAATGTGCATTTATAAGCTATGTATCTATTCCACATTTCTGATAACATAGTTATGCATAACTATTCGAACGACTTTAATGTATTTGCTTCGACTAAAATGACCTGTACAACGAATACACATGTAAAAAGTACGAAATTTAAGAAAATTATACGAACAGTTAAATAAACGCAAGATAATAAGGGCGCTAATTATGCCTTTAACATTAATAATTACACGAGGAGTGGTAAGTTTACTATTATTATTCAAAAATGTGATATGTCTGTTGCATAATCTTATCAGTACATTGTTAAGAGGCGCCAAGACAAAAGTATTAATGTATTGTTAGTGACTAAGTGTAGGCAATAAAAATACAGATTTTCTAGCTTTCGAAGAAAAGAGTGTATCTGAATGAATGGTAAAGCCTAAGAAAGTGGATCAACCTACCTATTGATTTGATTTAGAAACAAATCATAAACAACATAAAAAGGGCTAAATAATTCTGTGCCTCTCTATTTATAGACCACGAATAAATATTTCGTTCTTAGGAATTCTTCTCGCAAATGTTTGTACTACGAGTACATACCGTAAGGCATGCAAGGTCATTTTTGTATAGACAACAAAGCGATGTTAGAAAATATTCATTAGATTGTTTACTTGCCTGGGCTTTCAACTTCTCACTAATGCCGTATCTAAAACTATCTTCTTTATACATCATGGGCACATCAATAGTCGTGGAAGCAGTAACGTAGAAGGGCTGATCCATGGTGTTGCTTTTATTGAACTGATTCTTCCAAGTGCCCTAAAATATAATTAGCGTATTATTACATGAGTTTAATAATAAAACATCCTCAAAGAAAAACATTTTTTCACTACCTGCCTTACAATTTAATGAATCACCTACCTTAAAGTATATAGCATTAATAAGAACCAATCGAGTGTAAGAATCCAAATCATCAGCTGTGATGAGATCTTTAATACGCTTATTAGTCTTGTCCTCAACCTGAAAAGAAAATAAAGACATGAGGAAATTAAGACTTATTATACTTGATTTCTATACTTTTGAAGTTTTACGACGCTTCGAAGCTCGAACACATATATAGTTTTCATCATTTAAAGACTAACTGGCATGGTTATATATATTCGCTACGCTCTGTGAAATCCTATTTCCATGGTTTTTAAAAACGGATTTTTATCATTTTGGTGTTTTTTTTTCTTCGAACAATTTCAACTGTGTACAATGAATGACAATGGGCTCCGTAGCGCACTTTTTTTCTAAATGGCTTCGCAAGGCTTGTGCATTTAGCCAATGTCAAGTGTTAAAATGTTTACAAATACTATAGCATTCGTAGTCAAAGTAAAAAATAAGTCAAAGTAAGTGGCAGTCCCGTCCCCTATGTTTCAGTAAAAGTGTCGGGTTTTACTGGAACCTCCCCGTGGACTTCTTGAGGGAACGTCAAAAGACACTTTCCGCTATTTTGTTTCACTTGCTAACACTTGTGCATGTTCCCGAACACTTAGTCGTTAATAAATCCACCATTATTAGACACTAACACCCGCCACAACACAATTTTTAACAAGAAAAACAAAACTGCTAAAGTGACGCTTCCCGATCCCCCCAAAAAGTTTTCGTAGCGCACTTTGCATCTACGCGGGGTTCGGCAATCGGATAACATGACGAAATGCTCGATAAAATTTGTAAAAAAAAACTGCTCGATTCGTATAAATAAAAGATGGCGTGTCATACCTCCAGTACTGAAGGTAGTATTATTCATGACCAACAATGCTAGAAATAATCGGTTACACACTTGGGACAGATAGTTCATTATATTTAACCTTCTTCTATAAAGAGATAAATCGCTGAATCCAACACAGTCGAGCAGCATTGCAAATTATGTCCAGCAGTTTTTGACCAGTGTGTGGCTTATAAAGATGTTTGTACATTTTACTACAGAGACATATAAATAATATTAAAAAGTCACACAAAAAGAGAATGAACGATATCTCTGCAGGATGGTATAACAACGAGGAGATCCATTGAAAACAATTATTATCATAGTCTGAAGAATTGTCCATCTTAGTGGCAATGGCATGGACACTTAATACTGCAGGTTTTGGTGAACTAAATCCAGCTCAATTTGCAGCTTAGTTTGTCAACATTAACTTGCTAGTACTGTTTATCCCACTCTTTTCCATGGAAGGACTTATAAATTTTACGTTGCGAGTTTAGAAATAGCCCGTAGTTATTAATAGGTACGCACCGCGTACAGGATCGTCTGTGTACTGTGTATTCTGATTTATAATAAATGTAGGTACTTACGCATCTATTTCAGTAAATAGCGAGAATATCAGATTTAACTAGATTAGAATCGAAAGGAAGTGAATGGTGCATTGTTTGTCTAATCTATACATATAATAAAATGGTAGGAAAATCAAAACTCTATATTGATTTTTTTTTAAAAGAATACTTGGGGTGTGATCTACAATCGATAACGAAGACAAAAATATAGTTTTTAGAATTTTTGTCTGTTTGTCTGTATGCATGTCCGGGATAAACTCAAAAAGTACTGCATGGATTTACTTCAAATTTGGCACGAATATTATTAAGAAGTTGGGTCAACATATAGGCTACATATTATCACGCTATCACCTACGGGGAACGAACAGTGAACCTTTATTTCTAATTAACTCCACGCGTACGACGCGTACGGGCGGCCGCTAGTTTTAAATATTTCTCGACGACATCGCCTTTTATAAGAATTTATTTGTCGTCTTTGGGTCGCATTCAGGCGTCATTAAATTTTTGAGTATGATTAAATTTTTTTGTTGTGGCTTTGGCGTGAATATGCAAACTTTGACAAGAATAAAATAGGTTATTTAATTTTTTGTAGTAAATACTTTCAGATTTATAATCATTTGATATTTATTTTTGTGTCGTTTGATTGTTTGACATCAAACAAACATCATTCATATATCATATACTTAATAAATAGAGCACGCCATACCACGATAAACGCTCCAATATTACTTAATCGGACTGTGCAACGATATTAATTGGAACTGTGGTAAATGACCTTGAGCATTGCCCTAAAAGTGATATTACCTGCTACTTAAAATATTTTATTGAATGTAATTCATTACACTCAAATCCTATTATCATGACTAATCGAAACAAATCATGTTCTTTTGTATACAGATACGGAGTCCTCTTATAAACTTGATTTTATTTTGATTTATTTATTCTGACAGCGGTAATAGTTACTCGCCTTTTGTGAAACTTTCAGATGTTTAAAGTATAGCTAGTTGACTCAGCGAACTTCGTATCGCCATAAAAATATGAGTGGTGTAAGTGTGAAAATTAAGGGTTGTGCGTATTTTTTAATGCCTCATTATAAAAAAAAGTCCGAAAAATTAATGTGCGGGGTGGACAACCCTTTCACTTAGGGGTATGAAAGATATATAGTAGCCGATTCTCAGATCTACTGAATATGCATAATAAAATTTCATTAAAATCGGTCAAGCCGTTCCGGAGGAGTATGATGGTAACTGACATAGTGACACGCAAATTTTATATATAAGACTAGCTGACCCAGCAAGCTTCGTATAAAAATAGGGGTTGGTGATAGAACGGTGAAAATTTTGGGTTGATGGATTTTTCAATGCTACATTATAAAAAAAAACCCAAAAATTAGGTAATTCCGTCAAAGAAATAGAGCCCGGTGCAGTGACAGACAGATAGACAGCGAAGGCATGCAGTCCCAACTTCTGTTGTTTACACAAAGTGTGAAATGATTACTATCGTTACTTTGTGTGTGTACTATCTACCTTTCCACGAAACCTCAGTCATTATTCTGAGTACAAAATCCTTTTGAATAAGATTATTTATTACTAGTGACCCGCCCTCGCTTCGCTTCGGTGTAGAGCTGTAGTGTAAACTGTAGTTTTTGTTCTCAGGCTTGTGCTGTAAACAATGACTTTATTTATATAATTACACGTGTTATTGTGAGTCAACCATAAAAGATAGACATATGCTGTTGCGGGATATTTTTTAGACAATTTTATGTAGAATATTTCCGTCATACATGATTTCTATGTAACTTTAACCATTAAGGCTGCACACGCGACGGAAGCTTAAAAAATGGAGTAACTTCTCCCGTTTTCCCAACATTTCCCTTCACTACTCTGCTGCTATTGATTGTAGCGTGATGAAAAGTATACTATAACCTGCCCAGGAGTATGAAGAATAATTGTACCAAGTTTAGTTAAAATCCGTCGAGTAGTTTTTGTTTCTATAAGGAACATACACACAGACAGACAGACAGACAAAAATTTTACTGATTGCATTTTTGGCATCAGTATCGATCACTAATCACCCCCTGATAGTTATTTTGAAAATATATTTCATGTACAGAATTGACCTCTCTACAGATTTATTATAAGTATAGATTTGTTGTCGCCATGACAACAACAAATAACACAACACAACAAGGTCACAACCTGTCACAACCTTGGACGAAGAATCTCGAACGATTGAATCAAGATTAGTGTAGACGGATAGTACCAAAAAATCTAGTACGTTTGAAACGAAGCGCATTCTTAAAAATGTTGATACAAAAAGATCACTGCTATAACTCATGCATTAGATTTATAGATGCTTTGCAAAAAAGAGACAGCTGACGCCGGCGCGTTGGATCATCAACGCGTCTCGTTTAAAAATACTAAATGCCTGGATCGTTGCTACATACAAAGAATATGTTAAAACTACATAAATCTAGAAATACGTGATTCCACATAGTTATCTAGTAGACATTCTGCTCCGTCACACGGAACCAAGGTTAACATTGCGTTAATATGATTCAAATTAGGATGACTGATGGTACTACTATTTTGTGCTGATGGCCTGCCACTTTTTGTTCTCATTTTATAACTAGTATTGTAATAGTTCACTAGCTGCAATTATTCACGCAAAGATCCATAAATGCTTTGGCTTAGTTATATGAAATTTCGAATGTATAGCGGATAATAGCATTGCCGACGTCCCGCATTCTCCAGAACATCCCGTATTTCAGTCACATCACAATTTTAAATGTCCTCGGTCCCGTGTTTCAACATTAAGTATTTGATAAAAAATACCGACTTCATAATCGACACATGTTGACATAAAAGTATCGTAAAACATTACATCACCTAAGTTAACAAAAAATCTTATTAAATAAAAAATCGGCCAAATGCGAGTCGGACTCGCCCATGAAGGGTTCCGTAGCAGCAAGTAACATAATTATAAAACCTGCCCCCCGCGCGCTCTGCATCCGCTACCGATCAAGCCACGCCCCGAATTATAATTATTATTTACTTAGGCACCTATTACAGATTTATTATTAGAAAATAATGGTTCACGGTTTATGGATAACGTTTATGTTTATGAAATTAAATGTTTTTTATTTTATTTTTATATTTGTGTTGATTGAATGAAAGGTAAATATCGATTTACGATTTATGACGTATTAAAAAAAACTACTTACTAGATCTCGTTCAAACCAATTTTCGGTGGAAGTTTACATGGAAATGCACATCACAATTTTTTTTAGTTTTAAATTTTTCTTATTTTAGTAGTAACAGGACACACACACATTTTACCACTTTGAAAGTGTCTCTCGCGTAAACTATTCAGTTTAGAAAATAAATATATTATAAACCTCAATATCATTTTTGAAGACCTATCCATAGATACCCCACACGTATGTTTGATAAAAAAAAATTTTTGAGTTTCTGTTCAAAGTATGGGGAACCCCCTATTGTTTTATTTTCTATTTTTGTGTGAAAATCTTAATGCGGTTCACAGAATACATCTACTTACCAAGTATCAACAGTACAGTTCTTATGGTTTCGGACAAAAATAGCTGTGACATACGGACGGACAGACGGACGGGCATGACGAGTCTATAAGGGTTCCGTGTTTTGTCACTTGGCTACAGAACCCTAAAAATACTGGGCCAAACTGAACTAATTTAGTTTTATAGGACCAAATAGCGGCTGTTCCGCATCCTACAAAATAAGTATCAAGTAAATCAGATCAGAAATCTGCCGTGATTTTATAATAATCGGATAATCGCTGTTTTTTGTTTTACTACGTCGAAGTCTCCCCTGCCTAATGTGGCTATCTGAAAAGTATTTAAATATGAATAAAGTGACTAGCCCTTTTGGGTATTTTTTAAGTAGGCCCATCAAATGTCTCCACCCTACCTGATGTTAAGTGACTGAAAAGTATTTAAATATGAATAAAGTGACTAGCCCTTTTGGGTATTTTTTAAGTAGGCCCATCAAATGTCTCCACCCTACCTGATGTTAAGTGACGGTGCAGTCTAGACGCAAAGATCGCTGGTGCAACAGCTCAACCTGCCACACCAGCCATCCTCACCTTGCCAGCCTGTATATTGCTTCTTCATACATACATTTTTATGCAATCAAAAAATAATCTAAATATGAAAAGAATGACTAGCCCTTGTGTGAATGTGTACATATACATACTGTCTTAAATTGCAATATGTGTTAAACCAAAAAATTCAAACTTTTTCCTTCGCCGCTACTTCTATGAACTCAGAACCTGTTTTCGTAGAACAACCCACATATTGGATATGCCACTTGTGTTGTCTAGATGGGCATTCCAATTCAAATGGCAAATCTGTCGCGTCATACAGCCTTTACTATTGTTCCAACATTGAAAAAGATAAGTACAGTATACATTTAACTTACATGGCATGAAGATAAGTATACACTCAAAAACAAAATTGCAGCCAAAGAAAGTTCTGCTCACCCAAGTGTTAATGAGGTTTGCAGCATGGGCTGAATTACAGAAGTCAACCTTTTCAAATGCTGCATCGAAAACTTTAACTGCATCTTCCTTCAACTGTGGCTGCAGATCATAACCACCTTCCATTACATACACTTTATTAGCCACATCCAATGTTACACCCTTGATTGTTTTAAACTTGGATGAGACTGACGCAAATGACGAACGAATCTGTTGAAGATAATATCATATAGAGAAAGACCATCAATATTATTAATAAATAGCTGCACTAACTAATGTCAAAGAAGTGGTGGCCAATCGATTTATTGAGATCATTAAGACTGTTCTCTCTCTCACTACTCATTATCATAAACAATAAGAAATCCGAATATTGTATGTAAGAAAAATTGTCTCTTTGCTATTCTTGTTTATGACAAAGACATATGTCTGAAGTTGTTTTTCCTATTATAGTAAAAGCATCAAAACATTAGGTAAGTCATAAATAACTTTCTGCTTTTCATTGCTACTCTTATGATCTGTAAGTATTGTTTCTGTAGATTAAAATACTTATTTTATATTTCTATGAATACTTTTAAACTTGTTACTACATTATAGTAATTTATGTTATTTAGATGATTGTTACCATATACCTGGTTTTAAGCGATTTTCCGTTATTTCGGCACTGTTGCAAGCGCTATGATCACGGAGTAACTGAAGTAATTGCGGGTAGGCTGTTATTGGCAGACATATCGGGCTACCATTCGACGAATTCTTTTATTGCGTTCGGTACCCGCTCCACTGTTCACATTTTCAATATTCACTAGAAACTGTTCTCGACACACAACACTCACAGTATCGGGACGAGACACGACACTTTTTTGATTATTCCGGTTTTCATAATCATACGATCATACGAACGACAGAACGCCAGACACTAGCCAATCCTTACGATTGAATTTTTTATGTTTTTGTTATTTCAAGCGCTTCCCTTACCAATCTTGGTATGTACTGGCGTTCTGTCAAGATAATCTGTGAGCTATGGAACTCAATCTAGTGGTTAGGGTCAGAATCAATCAAATGTTCCGCGATGGCTGATTTCTGCGTATCGTTGTTTTCGATTGCTTTTATGTGTTTCGGTAAAAATCCTTTTGTTTAAACTTTATCTAATTTAACTTTATTTAACCAATTTCTGGAAAGTTGCATGTAGATCATTTTTCGAAAAATAAGGCCATAAAGAAGTTTCACTTCTTACGTGTGTACACTAGTACACGCACACATTTTTTTTGCAGAGAGTTGTCTTGTTTTAGGGTGCTGTTCCAGATATTGTTCTCGATATTGTTGTGCTGGAGGGTTGCGGTCATTTTCCCCCATGAAGACCGCTATCCGGCTTGGGGGGCGCTTCCGGTTATTGATGTGTGCAGAATGTTATTGGTTGTTAAGGTTTGGAGTTGAATTAGTGCTTGGTTGCGTTGTAAATCCTAATGGTAATCCTAAATTACATGCTAACAAACATGTACATAACATGAATAACTATAATGTTTGTGACCATGAAAGTTTAAACAATATATTGTTACTACATACCCTATAGCACCTTAAACATTTATCAATGAGTATTATTTTTATTGCATATTGGTAATAACTATTGTTATACATACCGAATCATCATCGGAAATGCCAAGAGTAGTCAGCAATTCATCGTGAGCTTTATCAGTAGTACCTAGAGCCAATAAGGCTAACACAAACTCAGCCGATAATGGTGACGACACTACACTCTTAGTTTTGTCAAGTTCCTAAAAACAGAATTTATTTAAATCACTTGTACATTAACTGTAATAATTATGTGTCCCTAAATAAGAACTTAAAAAAACCTTGTCTTTAAAACTGTTAACTTCAAAAACATCCTTTAAAAATCCCATTTATTTTTTTAATAAAATATTTCCTTTAAATTAATCAACTATAGTTACTGATTAAATTACAAAGTATCAGCCTCAAACCATTATGATGAAGACTGTGAGTGAGTGGGTATAACAATATTTTTATTTACCTATTCACTTTAATTTTGGTTTCATTCTCTGCTTTATAAAGTCACATTACAAGTTAAATTTGTTTTAAATTGTATTAGAATAAAATTAAATAAGGCAAATAATAGAAAAAAATATTCAACATCATTTATAAAACTGATATAAAATGAAGAATTATTAAAATAAGAAGTGTAAACTCAAAACTTTTAAACTTCTGATAATATATAGGTTCATAAGACTTACATTTAGAAACTTTGCAGAGAATCTTGCAATTGCTGAAGATAATGCTTTAGCATCCATATCTGCCTTGTATCTATTAGAATATAGCACTAAAAAAAATGGTACTGAAACAAATAATACGTTATTATAAATAAAACCGGACTATTTTCTCTTACCCGCTAGTTGTTAAAACACAGACTAAAGCATAATGATGACATCATTCATTACCCAAATATTAGAAGCACAACGCTCCACTTTTGCTTCGATCCACAGACTGACTCACACACAACCAACCACAAAACTTCATCAACACATTACGTGTAGGTACCCATTTTTTATGTACTCTAATCTCAAGGTTACATCGATCCACTTAATCACCTACCCACCTCGTATCACGTAATCATTATAAAAACAAAAAACTATAGGTACTTACCAAGAAAGTGTATACTTTTCATTGAAGTTTTATAGAAAAATGAGAATTATCTAACAGGTTTTACTATTACCATTAACGACGATAAAGACAGAAACGATAAAACGTTGTTAAGAGGCCGGTAATCTTCCGATACTGAAATACACATTTACACCACTGGAATATTGGCTTAAACAGATTTCATTAAAAACCTAAAGTTTTAAATTTCTTAAAAGGCAAAGTTTGGTTAAGAATTTATAAGTACTTTGTCATTATTAAAAGATCAAAATAATAAAATTAATGTCTTGTTTACGTTTACAAATTTACAAATGTAACGTCAAATTAGACGTATCATACGTCATTTAAGGATTTTTTTTTCTATATTCTCACATTTTGAAAGGCATAGGATTTGAAGCCCATTCGGCCTTATCTTAAGAACTTATCACACACTTCTTGACACATCCATACCGGCATTCTAAGTTTTAACGGTCGCTAGCTTAAAAATAAATGTAACATTGAGCAAAAAGTTATTACCAAAGCAGTTTTGAAGCTGATAATATAAACCATTTTTTCGTGTGTTTTTTCAATTTATGGCTCAACCAAAAATATATATTTTTGGTTCAAACATTTGAAACTAATATTACAATACTATGTATCTCAAATACCTTAAGTCAAAGTCAAACTGCGTCTGAAATTCAAAATCAATTCCATATTATTCTTTCAACATTAAAAATGTTTTTTCGTTCGCTCCAGTAGGCCCCCATTTCCGCTGATAGTGCGACTCGCCCGTGATACCCCGAGGTTTATGGCCACGGGGACGTATGAGGGCTCTAAAGACGCGGCATTTGAAGGGTTTTAAGAAGATGAATGAAAAGAAAATGAAGAAAAAATTATTTTGGAAAAGTCAAAACCTTTTTGGAAATCGAAAAAAACCGACTTTTTTCGACCGAAATATCGTGTTTTCTCAGAAAATTTCCGAATCTCGAGAATGGGGCCGATTTATAAAAATATGAAAAAAGACACCTAGGTATCGGTGACGGACTGACGGTTGAGGCTGTAGAGGTGCTCTTAGCCGCGAGCTTTGCGCGGCGCGAGGCGCGATATCACACGACGGACTGCTCGCATGCGGCCACGAGTACGAATGAGAGCTCAAAAGACGTGGAATTCGAAGGGGTATAAGATGATAGAAAAATATATTGGAAAAGCTGTTTTTAAGCTTTTGCATAGCTTTTATGCGGGCTTTGAGAGCGGCGATCGAATCAAGAAATTCCGTAATAAAAATTTACCTAACAGCCGCCACTCCGACCGGCACGCGTTGTGACTAGTTGAACCTTAATATGGTATGACTGTACGAAGCTCGCACGGATCGAGACGAGCTGCTTCGAAATCGGACGAATACGTATAATGCGATTCCACTAAGAATAGGACCGACTGGGCACCATATTGTGACGTCAAAGCTGTCAATTCAAACCAAATAGGTAGAGTGAGCGAAAAAAACCAACCGATTTTTAATAATATTTATTTATTAAGACTGTGTGAGAAAAAACATTAAACAGGAGTAGTTATGAATAATCATGCACTATTACAAAACTGTCTAGGTTGTACTAGGTCACATATGAACATGCATCCTTAATGTAAACGATCGTTTTAAATCGAGTTTATGAACGCAACTTAAAGTGACATTTGGTTGACAATATAGGTTATCAACCAGTCATAACCAAGCTCAATAAATGAAAAAAAATATCAAACAATATTAATTATCAATATTTGTTATTGTTTGTGTGGTAAACAGAATAGGGGTACATACAATTATAAGACGTTTTACGGCACAGAAGAACTTTTAATTACGTACACAACAGTATATACAGCACAGCACACAGAAGGAGTAAAAGCGGAAGAAATAGTCACAGAAAAACAGGAAGCACAAACTAAATGACATACAAATTTATAACGAATAATATAAGCAAAGAGCGCAAGCGTTAGGTGTCGTAGCAATCTTTCGACTGGCGGCCGGGAAGCCGCGGGGCGCAAGTAATGCGCAGGAGCGCGGCCGGCCGACCGGTTATCACTTGAGCAATAGCCGAAAAAGAGCTTTTTTCGCTATATATAAAATTATTGCGAGTCACAGTGTTCGCTCATTTTTATTCACTAGCAAATTACATAAATTACATTGTAAATTATATTTATCTAATTAATTTTACTACACAAACATATATTATTATTAAATATTATAAATTATTATACAAAACACATTATTGCACATTATTGAATAATAATTATATATATATATATATATATATATATATATATATATGTATGTATTTACCTATATATGTATGAGTGTATGTATGTATTTATATGTGTTTATTTGTTTTATATACTCGGTTTGTTCATAGATTTTCTCGCGTATTATTGAAGTTACACCGCCGTCACCGGTTGTCTGGAAGAGATCGCTCTTAGCGATAAGACCGCCCATTTTTACACTGTAAGCAGCCATTATGTATGTTTTATATTTATTTATTTTTTATTTTGTGGTGTAAAATAAAGAGTTTATTATTATTATTATTTTCAAGCGACATTTGACAGATGGGTGTCATTGCAGCTGTTTGTGAGAAAGTATACAGGGCGTCATTGGCAGGGAACATTTGATAAATTATTATTTTTTTCTTGCACCGTTTCGTTTTTATATTAGTTTGTATTACATAATTTTATATAAAACGTTAAATTTAATGACTTTTCTTTCATTAAAAATGCTATGTTATTTTGCAAAAAATAATTATGTATTATAATTAACCCTTTCGATAGTTATCATAAAATCTGTCGTTTTTTTTCGAAATTTCACGAGTTTGATTCCCAGTTGTAGCAGGCTATTTTAAAAAAAACTGTGAATGCGGTTCTAGTTATTTTTAAAAATAATATGATGTCACTTTTCTGTAAAATAACCTATCTTTAATATAATATATGTACTTTCCCTCCGTGTGAGGTAGCCGTGGGACGCCCTTAGGTATCTATCATCTTTGTACAACAGTGAATGGCTGTACGCGTAAAATTTTTGTATAAATTGTTTTAAATATGAATAAACAAAGTGCATTTAATAAAAATATTTTAAACAATATTAACTTCTCATATATTCAATAAAAGAAAAAAAAAGTCACCGTGCTCAAAAAGTGCAACTTGAATTAATAAAAATACTGTATAAATAAATAAATATAATAGGCTAGTTTACTCATGTCGAATTGTATTAAATAAATGTTTATTTCTTAAAGTATTTGGTCTAAGGAACCTAAATATATCGATTTCACTTCATAAAAGCAGAAGATTGCTGTAGAAATTTTGTTTGAAAAAATATTTTTTAGTCTATATTTTTTAAACACTTAACCCGGCGTTCGCACAGTTGGGTCTATTTGACCCGAGCAGTTTTCAAATGAGCGTGTTTCTTAAAATGTTTGTGCGACTTTGCCAAACTTCTCAGTAGCTGGGGCTAATGATCCCCCCTCCACGTGGGATATCGCCATTCAGTCGTGTTGCGGCCCCAGCGAGTGATAGACACGGCCAAACACGAAAAAGGTAAATATGACCCAACCATACTATTCGTGTCGTAATTTTGCGCCGTTTAAACAAATGTTTTTTTGTTGTTTTATATTTTGTTATTTTTGGCATGCTAAATATGTCTGGAATAAATGCGTCAAAGCAACGCCAATTTCTAAAGAAACTTAAGCCTTATACTGGTTCGTGAGCGCAATCGTAAAGATGTCATTCAGTTGCCAAGACTTATGCGCAAAAGAATAAGAGAGTTGTTAGGAGTAGGTACCTGATGAGGAGCCACCTGTGAAGATACTTTATGTCAGAAAGAGATGCTAAAACTGTTCTGCCAAAAAAGATAGAAAAACTTATAATACTTTTCGGAGCAGTAGCAAATACATCTGCAGTAAGCATGCAATGTTGTACTGCCGAGATTGCGCAGATGATAAGGATACTATGACTGACGTATGAGACTGATACTAATAGTTTAATATTATTAGTCTACTAAAGATTTGATTAACATGTAACAAATTAGTTTATGTTATGGAAAAAAGTTTGTTTTGTTAAAATTTTATTACTTTAAGACAGAGGTTGTCCATTTTGTTAATATTTTGTGACACTTTTATGAAAATGACATTAAAAAGATAGTTTCGTATCATGTTGTGTTTTTTTCTACTCAAAACCTATAACGATAATCGTTTTATACAGATAGTACAACCACAAACCAAATTTATTAAAACTTTTGTAATTATGGCGTTTTCTTATACGGGTCCTCTCGACCCAACCCTACTGTCGCTGTTGCATATTTTGACTGTGCTGACGCCGGGTTAAAACGCTGTTCGCCACATCCGCCATGATTTTGACGTCTCTTGTGGTAAACAACTAAATGTCATTCGCGTGTTACTGTAGGTGGATTCTTTCGTCTGACTAAATTTATCTTAAAACACTTTTAACTTTAGAAAAGAAATAAACAGTAAACTTAGTTTTTTTGACAAAACTAATTATGGTTGCCGGCTTTGTAAAAGCAGAAAGCACAAATCTGCCAAGAATTGACGCATTGATGGTTGGTGAATTTGTTGCACTAAACCCCGATTTCTGCTCTACGGAGCAGAGAAACGACAAGGCATCTATGTAAGTACAGTGCATTTAGTATTACAACGTAGTAATAAACATAAAACTGATACAACATATGAATAAGTGTAATAAAGTTACGTAGGTTAATTTCTTTCGGCACTTTAATCCACAACTTTCCTGGAGTCTTCAAGGATGTGTTTTTATATTCTCGTACAATACAGTAATGATAATTACTTTATTTTTAGTGGTATTTATTAGAAATCATGTTTTTTTTTATTATAAACTCAGTTTTATGTAATTTTCTACGTGTTTACGAGTTTTTGTTTACCACAGTTCACGTCATAGCATAGATAATCTATAGACTAAAATGGCCGACAGCGTTTTTGTATGTCCATGAAAAGTCTATTTTAAAATTAAAGATTTGTAGCTTTCTAGGTTTAAAAAAAATACAATACATTTTTTTTCGGTCTAATAGAACATTTATTAACCATTTAAAACCTTTTTCCAAAAAGGGTCAACTAGCCTATTGCATAAGTTGATAAAATTGCCATGCTTTAGCGCGGCAGTCCCCGAGTGCCACACGTTTTTTTTAGTAATCTATAACAGTTAAATTCATTTTCAATGCCCATATAAGTTGTGTAGAGCACGAGATCTGTGATTTTTTTTGAGTTAGGTTCGAAATAATTGCATATTGCCGACAGCTTTGAATCTAAGTTTAGTAGCTAAGTTATTTTTTTTGAAGAGTGAAAGCT